TGGATTATTGAAAATTTATGCAAAACTGACATGTAACTGCCATTTCTCTTTACATCACATTACTTTATCAAGTGGATTCATTTATAAAAAAAGCAATGTTATGTCATAAATACGGCACAGCAGTTGGGTTCCGCATTAAAATCCCATTTGTTTTCACTCAGATCCATATTGGCTTCAAATTAAAAGTTAGTCATGTTGTCATTCACTCAGAGCTGGTTGCATCAGTTCATAGTTTAGAACTCTTAAACATTTTTTGTTCTCGATTTTTAAAACCCCTACATAAAAATGTATGGATGAAAAATAGGGTGTTCTCTTATTCCTTATCTAGACTTTTTTTTTTTTTAATAAAGAAATGCTGATGAGATCTTACTTGGATATTTTTATAAAGATGCCAAGCCGTGATTGTTTGATGCATTACTTTCTCAAATCTCACCAGGCTGTAAAATAAATGAGTTCCATACTATGCTATAAAGTATATCTACTTGACATGTCCAGTTGTTTGAGTAAAATTAGTCATGTGCTCTGTATCTTTACCTTGATTATTGTATTTGGAGTGTCCTTGGTGCCACTCCTTATCCCCCGGCTCTCTCTGGTTATTGTGGTAAGTTAAGAAAGAGGCTTCAGAACAAACTTCTGCCTGTTCCTCCAACCTCTCCACTCCTGCAATTTTTATATTTCCACACATGGGGAGAAAAACATAACCATAACAACAATATTTAGGCTGCAATTACGGGAGAGTAAAATTCTATGTCTGAGAGCAAATGAAGGATGATGGTTTCTCATGGTCAAACACACCACACCACAACGCTAACCTAAAAATACACTGAGTCTGGTCTGTTTGCTCACTGCAAACAAGAACACAATGGAGACTTGCTATGAGGTTTACGCTAATTCTCTTCAACAAGCATAAATCAGATGCTAATAGGATGTGGATGTTTACTGCTTGAGTAATTTTGTGAGCTTTCATGTACAACAATAAATAAACATTGACGTCTAAAGGCGTGAGTACAGGAACAAATGAAACTAGAGCATGCAGATAAGCTCAGTAGGTCTGTCCCGGTGTGTATTTGATAGATCAGAGTGAGAGGCCTTTAAAGAGGAATCAGCAGACTCCCAGGTGCCTCGTCTCCCACAAATGATCTTCCCCTTACCTAAAGCCTGCAGGCTAAAGCCCACCTGTAGTGATACCTTACACAGGTACTTTGTTTTCTGTGGATTGGAAGAGAACATATAGAGCTGTGTATTTTGGTATCAAACAGTTGTAAATATTTATATTGTTATTCTGTTGAAATCAAATTTGCCTCTGTTTACTTATTTAATGTACGTTTCTGCTCTTATTGTGAATCATTCATATGTTTATGCTAATATCTGAAGAAAAATAGTTTGTCTTAATCTTTATTCCAAGCAATAACTTGCTCTTCCTCTAAAATGACTTTCATTTTTTTGGTGCCATGCTATGTATAATGTTAACCAACACCTATTTTCATTATTTTTTGTCAAAATCGCATTCTGCCCATGGCTTCATTCTGGTATGTAACAGTTTCCCTAATCCAATCAATTATCAATGGTTAAAAGTAAGTCCCATACTACATATTTTCTTGCTTACTTTCTTGTTTGCTCTTCACTAACCTGCACAATAAAGGTAAATAAAATATTTTGTGCTGTACAGGATGTATTCAAAAAAGTCCATTATGGAAATGGTTTTATGGGTCAACACTGATGGCTTTTAAGAGGGAATGGAGGAGGGGCTTTATCCCAGATTAAGTAGTCATTAGCTACAGTCTTATCAGATGTTGAGGCATTGTTTAATACATATCTGAGTCTTTTCCTCTTACCCCCCACACAGACTTACACATACTGTATGTGTGCAGGCCAGTACACACTAAGAACAAAGGCTAGGCAAATAGATATTACAAAACAGAGCTACACATATACAAACCACTCTCCTGTGTATTTGTATTTACATAGATGTATTTAGATGAGCATTTGACCCTTGTCTTGAGTCATGTCATGTTGATAGTATTGGAGTTGTTTATTTTTATTCCCCTGAACTTCAAGGAGTTTCACTGACAATGTCAAGCTGTTTTTCTTAAACTGGGCTGTATCTCAGTATGAAACATGCTTGGTCTTTTATAGAGTGCTGACACTGTTTTGAGGTCTACATTCTCAGGCCAGGTACACAAGAGCAAGGAATAGTAAACAGACAGTAAACAACATTAAAGAGAGAGTAAACAGCCACATCAGCACCAATTTAACCATTGTTTGACCCATAACACACGTGTGGACGCAAGTGCTCAAAACACTGATAATTCTTTAAAATACAAATGTTGGTAGCTTTCAGAATTTTAATGAATGCATATACTGCTATATTTGTCATGATGTCTGAGATCATTCAAGTTGGAAGTTTCCTCAGGCTTTCAAATCATATGATAACAAATATCAGGGATGTTCTCCAGGGTATGAGCTGAAGTCAAGAGGTCAGGCTTGAAAGGCAGTTGTTTCCTAGTTATTTCCTAGACTGTTTAGGGTTTCAGGGACACAGTCAAATAAATAGTGGGTGCAACCGCCACTCAAAGGTGTATAGATTCATGTCATGGTTTAAGATTTATGATCTCTCCATTCAACATCGTAGTCTGGATACCACATTTACTTCCAAAGATACAGCCCACATAGACTTTATTATGGATAAACAATTTTGTTGAGTAGAATGGAAATTGGTCCTTACAAGCAGGTTGTGTGTATGTTTTTATATAATCAAATTGTTTAATTCTACAATTTGTATGATTTATAGGTTTGTCCTCCTCAGCAAAATCAAAAAACCTGATGTTATCAAATACATGTAGATGAGCTGTGCTGTGTATTTCTGCATAAATAAATTGAAACCCGCAGATCATCATTATTTGGAGATGTGCTTCGACTGACCATCAGACATTATGGTTCCAATGTTGCACTCTGTTCTCCAAACCCAGTATGGGGTAAATTAGGAGCAGATACGGGCAACCCTGACCTGGCATAGTTCTCCTCAGCTGGAGCCACTGCTGGAAAAGCCATTTCTCCACAACATGCAAACAGATATAAAACAAATGGTGTACAGCCATGTAAAGAGAGGGGGAACAAATGTTAGCAAATATGAGGTCAGAGGCTGAGTTATGACCTCACTGCCTATTACATTACGTTAAATTGCAAAAGTTGCTTTAGAAAGTGGGCAAAGCATAACGTGCACACTTACCAGCTATGTGGATTTTAGAAAGTGCGCAAAGCATACCGTCCACACTTACCACCTATGTGGATTTGCGGGTCACGACGAGGCGTCCCCATAGCGACCCCTAGAGGACGCAGTTCGAAGTTCCCATGAAAGGGAACTGGGTAAATAACAACACTGTAGTCAAAGCAAAACCATCTTCCTTTGGGGTTTGATGCATTTGGCTTTGACAAGCTGAGCCCCCAGCCAACATTTACTAAAACATCTGACAACACTCTTTCTGAGGACTCTTTTCAAAATTAGGCTAGAAACTAATGGATTGTAAAGCACAGTTAAACTCACTGGATGATTCTTTTCACATGGAGACTTTCTTTGAGCTACTTGTCATATGGTTGATATTGTGTAGAGCACGGTAATCTTGGCCTCCTCTGTTCATTAGAGACAAAATCCGAAACCATTGTGAAAAACAAACAAAATAAATATCAAACTACTTTAAAGCCACCTCTTATGACGTCTCAATTTGATCTTTTATTCTTTGGCTGAACCTCAACTTTAACTTTTATGTGATTCATAAACATTTTAGTATACAAGTCAGGTAGTTTTATGAGCTCCTTTAAGAAACCGGTGAACAGGGAAAACAAATGCGAGTGCTAAAATTCACCCAAATGCAGACAGAGCTTTTGTCTTAATAAGACTTTGGAGTCAGTGTGTAATAACAGTCCTCTGTTTGGCTATCATAGGACTGGGAAGCAAGAACCAGTTCATATTCAGACCAGGTTAAATCTCTTAAAAATACGGGATTTTCTCACTAAGTGCAGACTCATTTTTATAACACTGTGCTAAAATATTTTGACAGTGTTTGCTACTATTCAGCATTGCCGCAGTATTGAATCCACAGTGTGAAATTTACATCAGCAGCAATCAGTGTAGACCATACGGCAAAAAATTGCTTAATGAGCAAGCTAGTGAATATAATGTGCTTTGAGTGAAGTGCAATTAACCAACAAACGACTCATATCAGTCAGATCTTTTTAAAGAATCAAAAACAAAGCGCAACCAGTGTAATCCGGTTCCTGAAAGAACAACTCTTGTAAGTTTGTTTTAGTTAATACAAAACATGCAAATGCAACCAACTAAACTCTGATTCCTGAGCGAATGACTCTTGTGAGCTTGAATCAAAACCGTGTGACTAGTGTAGCCCGATTCCCAAAAATTAACTCTAATGAGCCTATTTTTTCTGGGAATCAAAAGAAAAAAAAAGAAAAAAAAAATTTTTTTTAGGGTAATTCAAAGTCTGTGTAAACACATAGCTATAAAAAGAACTGTAGCATGCTAAATTTATTTCTGATTTATATCTGTTCTGTTGAAATCAAATGATGCCATAATTTGGCATAACAAACAAATCTCTAAAATATTTCTTCTTAAAAGTTGCCTGGTAATAAGACTTTAAAGGCTACAACCAAAATCAAGTTGTCTGGAGATCTTGAAAAGGCTGAATAGATGCAGTAGATGAGCTGGTGCATTTTAGACCAAGAACCCAAAAATAATCAGTTAAACAAACTGCTGTATTCACTGTAGACTAAGCTTTAAATATCAGCTGAGCGCTTGCAGAACAGATATTCATGACAGTAGAGTTTTAAGAACAAGACCTGACGTTCATTAAACAGTACAGCGTACAGTATCATAAATCATCCGGCAGCCCATTCAGAACTCTTCAGATTCATATTGAACACATAAACTCTTTCGACAGCGTGTGTTTACTTGCTCGGTCCGTTCATTTAGAGGGAGTGCTACGAACATGTATCCCATTTCAATGAACTCTGTGATCTGTATATGGACCGTCGGACAGTGAGGAGCGCTAATACACTGAATCGCCCGCAGATGGTCGTCGCTGATTGGTGGAAATTTAGACCCCCACCTTTTGCCAATCAGCCGGTGCCACTATCTCAGTATAGTTTACACACACACACACACACACACACATACACGCCGACTGTCACTGCTCAGCAGTTCTGTATGTACCTGCGCTTTGCAAACAGAAGCGGTGCGCGTTACCCTAATGAACCCGGTGGATTTTACTTGAGGAACGACAGAAACAGGGCAGTTTAAACAATTAGCAATGTCTCATTATTGCATTGCATGGATTTGCGGATTGTTCCTTTCCCCGTTTTTGAAGAGGTAACAGTAAAGGTGCATACATGACAACATGGATTGCCTTTTCCTTTTGCTCTGGAGTTTACAAGTCCCTCTGGTAAGCAGCACATCAGTGAGATTATTGGCGAGTGTGTCGTTTGGGAACTTTATAAAGGCAGGTGACACGCTGAGAATGAATTATTTATTATACATGTTTTATACTCATTGTTCGTATCAAGTTAATTGTGGTGAGTTATTTGCACTTTTGCAGGCTCTGCAGTTCTGTTGCTTCCACTCTGTAACATCGGTCTCATTTACCGGCGACCCCGGTGTCCTCTATCAAGGTTTGTGTCTTTACGCGCTTCAACTGTATTTCTATTCTGATTGATGACAAGCCAGTGATGGATGCCGATGCATGCTTTCGCGCCCTATTTGAACCAAAGATCCCTACCTGGATATACCTGTACACATAAAGATATAAATACGCTGAAGCATGCCACACAGATCCGGTGAATTAAGAGATTTACAACATAGATATACTCCCAAATATGAGTTTCCTGTGCCGGTGGTCGTGCGCTAGCACGCGTGTGGGCGCATTAGAAGGATTCCCTCATCTCTTATCTACCGCGTATTGAGCTAGTCACAGAGAGTTTATTGTCTTTTTATTTAATATTTACAATACCAGTCAAACGTTTGGGAACGCTTGACTAAATGTATGTTCATGTTGAGCTATTGGTGAAATGCTTGACATTAGGTTTATAGATAGTGGCTACAAGGAATACAAGTTAATTTATTCCTGATTTCCACAGCTTGCGCAGGCTACACTGGGCACTGAAATGTTTGAAATCTCATTCAGAAACATGAGACAGTACAGAAAGTTTGCATACAGACATTGTGTATGTTGATATTGCAATATTAAATAAAGTTTAAACAGTGATATACCGATTTAGAGTCAGGAGGTAAATTCTTTACTTTTTTATTTTTATAAATTTTTTTATGGATTAGTTAGACCAGATATAGGGGAAGTAAATAAGCCAACAAGTATTGAGAAGACCCCATGAAATGGTTTGACAGTGCAGTTTTCCTTTCTTCATTTGAGAATGTTTGATTGGTCAAAAACCTTTATAGTGCAGGATGAGTCATCAATATAACTAGTGATGGATTGGTATTGAGTCAGGTGATTTAAAATGTGTTTGTTCCCCTCACAGATTACGATTTTGCCACACCAGTGGAAGTGGACTCACTTGGAGGCTTCATTTCCCACGATGTGTCAAGACATGGAAGGAGCAAGAGATCCCTGTCAGAAGTTGGTGGTCCAGTGCATTATCATGTCTCTGCATTTGGCAAGGAATTACACTTAGACCTGCAGCCATCCCATGTGCTGGTAGAGGGGTTTACCGTACAGACACTGGGTGCAGAGGGCATCAATACAGCCACCCTTGACCCTTCTATTCATAACTGTCTCTATCAGGGTTCCATCCAAAACCATTCTGAATCCTCTGTGGCTATATCCACCTGCACAGGTCTGGTAAGTGGCTCCTTTTACACTCAGTCAAAGATTCACTGACTCCAAAATGAGCTACATCAATGTCTTACATAGCCAACTGCTTTTAAAGAAGACATTCATACTGAAATTAAACCTCATAAGCGACTGATTTTAAATGATCTATACAGGCAGCAACTTATGAATCATGCATCATATGAAAGCATTTCATTCAAGAAATGTTTTGGAAGTTTGTAATTATTTCAGCAATCAACTATCATCTTGGATTCTTTTCACTGATCTTGTTGCAGAGCATTCTGGGATTGACTTGTGATGTTGTTTTTGAATTTGACCAAAGCATATTTTAAGAGGTAGCGTAATTAAGTTATGTCACTTAGACTTTGCACTGCTATATATTGACATTGATCAGTATGATTATCTCCGAGTTTTATGTAAATTACATGAATAATAGTGAGTTTTAGATAGCGGTTTACGCAATGATTATTTCCCTTACCTGTCCAAAAATAAAAAATAAAAATAAGAGAGAGAGAAGCAGGAAAATTCTATCATTAAATCAATGTTTTCTCTTGTTTTTTGTCCCCTGGCCTGTAGAGTCAGCTTATTCGATTTTGGAACAAAAGTTATATGTGCTGTCCATTGTTTGTTTACTCGTTAAGTGCATGGAAAATTTCAAGTGGCTACCAATGTTGTTAGTATGCAGACATGTTCGAGTTACAGTTAGTAAAGTATACATTGTGCCTGTAGGAGCTTAGGAAGTATAAGTGTGCCTCAGAGAATATAGTATAGTATATAGTGTGCTGTGTGCAAGAAGAGCTTATTAAAACAGGTCAACTGGAGCACTGAAGTGCAGATGTAGTGGAGCACTGGTCTTTATGTTTTCCTACATAGAGGATCATATCTCATCTTGGATGGTGGGCTACTGTAAAATCATACCCAGAGTTCTGCTGACGTTCTCTGCCTCTGCTCCCTGCTCTTTTGTTTAGTGTTTGCTCTGCTTTCCTGTCTCCCTTGTTCTCCACAATTAAAGACAGAGTGAGGTTTCAGGAGCTTGGCTGGCAGCGCTAATCTTTGCATTGTCCTTTTCATTAGTGGTAGCATCTCCACAATAAAACAGCAGTGACCCATTCTTTTAAAACTGTGTGACAACACAATGTGATTTGAGAGCAATTGCATCTGAATAGACTGCAGGGACTCTTTGATCTACTCCCCCTTCTTTTGAAGCTCTTTTTTTCTGAACGATGGCCCAAGCTCTAGGTGATTCTCTCGGTGGTCTTAAAGGTGCCCCAATTTCAGATATACAGGATGCCAAACGAGACTTGTGTGTCCCTTTAGATTTTGTGCGTAAATGTACAGAAGCAAAAGGAAATGTCCTAGAAAAAAGGGGTCTCTCACTCTGTCCCTCTGCCTCTTTCACTCTCCCTTTCTTTGTTGGAATGAAAAAGAACGAGTCACCGAGGACTTTAACCCTTCCATGTCATCTCCGCTTGATGAGGAGCTTTGGATTAAGTACAAATGAGAACCCATTCATCCCTCTGCTGATCCGCAGCAACCCCTTGTGCCGTGAAAGGCCGAGGAGGCAGTTGCTTAGAGAGAGAGAGGTTTTGTGTTCCGAGAATGCCAGTCCAAAAGTAAAATCAGTGTGGATGAGAACCCCCACAGTCGGTACATTCAGAGGTAATGCTGTCCATTAGGTTAGTGAGTTGATGAAAGTCTGATTTGCTTGTACTAGTTCTCTTGCTCTCTGTTAAACAGTGCATAATATAGCAGATGGACAGGGATTCAGTTGTTAAATGAAGAACAGGCGCTCCCGGCCTTTAAATCAGGCACAGAGGGATTTACTCGCTAAATCCTGCTTCATTTAAAGTTTTTAATTACTGAGCGCCTTTCAATTGCTGTTATCACTTGCCTCGAATGGATTGTCTGGCCCGAGATTATGTGGCATGATCAAACATCTTCCATCCAACCCTTAAACAAAACACGTCATCGTAGTAATGAAATGCTGGTTGATTTGTGGATTAGTTTAGTCATGTGTGCTGTTTCAAGGTTGGTTCAAAATCTTCTAGAAGGGCAGTATCCAGGATGGCATATGAATGCCAGTCCCAATGCTGCTTCAGTTTGTCAAAGCTGATTAGCAGGTGGAGCTTCTGAAGTACTGCTCTGCTACTTCTTGTTCAGAGGTCAGAACTTCCACCGGATCAATTTGCGGGGTCACATGGTTGTGCAAGTTCAGAGTTGCTCTTCCAGCCTAGGCATAGACAAATCCACATCCTCAGGCCTTCTCTGGGTCACGGTTCCATATGGCTGGTGACAGGTTCAAGCCCATCCCCCTTTGAAATGGCTGATCCTGCTTTCTAGACATGTTTTGACTGGCTGAGCTACTATGCCATCCAGAATTGGCACTAGTACCACAATGAAAGGGATTAGACATCTTCCATTATACTGTTCAACATGGATTATTGATGTATGATCTATTCTGGTGGTGTTGCTATATTTAGTTGTTATGATTCGTTCGACACATGGCCACTCATTCGGTAACTTTAACACATTCACTGCCCTGTCAGCTTACCTTTTTGGAGCAGGTAATGAGACCGTAGACTTGACGTTCCTTATTAGTTTATGTTAACTGATGCCATTGTTTGCTAACAATTAGCATGTTAGCAAACTCTGCTGGGTAGGATAGCAATTGGTTGACTAAATAGCCTTAGCTTTTGAAATGCTTACATTGTGAATCAATTAATTATCTCAGTCAACATGCATGGCTGGAAAACTTCCCACTGCCTTTATCATGATGTCCAACTGGATAGAGATGCTATTTCCTGATATTTTAGTAAAACCTTTACTGGCTGTTTTGTGTTCTAAATGAAGGAAATCCTCAGCTTTGTTGATTGTTTGTCTTTGTTACTATTCAGTGTACACTACCAAAGCAATTAAATGCTGCTATTTGGAACTTTTTATACATCGAAAATCCTGAAAAATGTGTCATGGCTTCCACAGAAATATTAAGCAGCACAACTGTTTAATAATAATAAGAAATGCTTCTTGAGCAGCAAATCAGCATATTAGAATGATTTCTGAAGGATGATGTGACACTGAAGACTGGAGTAATAGCTGCTGAAAATTCAGCTTGGCCAACATTACATTTTTCAACTTTGCCAACAATATGAAAGTTACATTTTAAAATATATAAACATTTCAAGACTTTTATTTTAAATTGGAATAGTAATTCAAAATATTATACTTTGATATAATTTGATCAAAGAAATGCAGCCTTGGTGACTTCTTTCAAAAATGTTTAAAAATTATACCGACCCCAAACTTTTGAAGGGTAGTGTATTTTCTGCTACATGTTCTCTCTAGCTCTCATATACAGATAAACCCAGCATTTCATGATTAGGACAGAAATGTGAATGAGAGTTTTTCAGAGTTCACCAGGCAGACAACTGAGTATAGTTAAAGGGGTCATAAAATAATGATCTTTAAAAAAGCATCATATGACCCCTTTAATTATCCTCCTGGTCTTTTGAATGGTTTGCAAGCAGGGCTTTGTAGGGCAGGGGATTCACTAGATTTGCCCTTCACTGAATTTCAGTTCTTTCCAAACATGTCCAATCATGCTGAACTCAGACATGACCTTTCCCAAGCCCCTCATTGTCTCTTCTGTTCACAGTCAGACTGTCATTTATTTTGCCTGGTTAAAGTTTACATGACAGGACATAGGAAATAAGTTCTTATATGAGTAACTTATTCAAGCCCACCTTTTAAAAAAGGATCTGATACTCATATTGAATTAATTGAATTAATGTTAAGCCTTCATAATTGTACTGATAGAGGAGATTATGTGACATTCAATATGTGAATTAATGTAAATAATATATTTTGTGTAAACTGTGCTAACAGGTAAAAACAAATGACTGAACAGATAATTGATCAATTATGCACAAATGTTACAAGTTGTTAGTCACATTTGCTAAACAGGTTTCCCACAGACTCTCTCTCTCTCTTGGGTCTTTGGGGGGTGGGGGTGCTTCATGAAGTCTTTTTGGATGCCAAAGTGTTCTTTTATCTTTTATGGACAGCCCGGCCCATAGACCAGCCTTGTGGGTGAGAGACTGTCTGTGAATTTGTGAGGTGTGTATGTGTGTGAATTGCTGCTGAAGCACTTCAGCTGTGTTTATTTAGTACCAGACCTGCTGGTTCAAGCTGATGCGCTAACGTGTGGGATTGCATTTAGGGGCAGTTGTGATGCTAATTCACTCTGACTGGAAAGGAGGAAAGCTGTCAGTGCGCTCAAAGCTTGTGTGGATACACTGCAGTGAGAGTACAGCACCGGGCCATTCAAACATCAATGGAAGAGAGAGGCTGAATTACCATTTACAGACTCCGAGAGCAGATCTGTAGTGCTTGTCTGACGCAGGAAATTGTGAGAAAATGCTTTGGGGTTTCCGTCAGACATGTTTGTTGTCATGATTGGTAATTAGAGATTCTGTTCTTCTTCCTGGCATCATAAATTAAGTATAGATGCATTAGGTAGTTGCATTATAATTTAATATAAAGACTGATTCTCAAACATTTTGTGGATATATACTTGCAGCTGTTAGGAGTTATTTAGGGATGCATTTCTGAGGAAAAAGTAATGAATAAATCGAGATTAATTAGGATTATAATAAGTGTATGAGTTCATACTTTCTTTCAATGCATACTGTATATTTTCAGCAAATGTAAAGATAATATTTTCCAGATAATGTTTTAATTTCTTATGGCTGTAGAACAATGAGAACATAAATGGGAATCATTAATTATTTAAATGTTGTATTTATACTATCACATTTACAGTTTTTCTCACATATAAAAGTGTGGTCATATTAGCGAAATTTTGTGGGCAAAAAAAGGTACATTTAGTGTAGCGATGTACAAAGCACAGCTCACACAAAAGTTACTTTCAAACCAACCAGCCTCCTGTTGGTCCAAGCGCACCCAAACCCACTGTAAAATTTGCCCTCTTGCGAAATTCATTATCACAAGGA